TCCTCAGCAGGGAGGAGGAAGCCACAGTGTGGCATTGCTGAACCTCTGATACTCCCACCACTCCTTCCTTTAGCCTTATCACCCCCTGCCTGCTCTCACAGGGGATCCCTGTGCACACAGAATTGCTCTGGCCTTGTTTATTAAATGAGTAGAGATATTTTCAGAACTTTACCAGGTCCTGTGCATTCACGACCGTGATCTGTACTGGTATTGGCTGTGACATACTGGGAAGAGCTGCAGCAGCAGGCTCCTTCCCACCAGTCAGCCCCGCAGGGACCTCCTCGGCTCTGCAGGAGAAAGAATGAGGAAAGAAACATGAAACTGCTCCATTCCTCTCCCAGATACCTCTGCAGGACACAGCAGTGCGGGCTGCGAGCGCTATTCAGGGCTTGGCTGTCAAAACACCATTGAATGTGCAGAGCTTTGGCAGTGACGAATCTCTCACGAGGTGCAGGGGGAGGACTGGGAAAAATGTAATGTGAAAATTATCCATCTCTGTAAGCTTCATCCAGCTGCTGCTCCCAGGAAAGGTTTGTTGTGCCAGGCTGCTCTCGGCTCCCAGTACATTCCTGGCTCTCTTTTACTCCCTTTTTATGTTAATGGTGACCCCATAGGCCAAAGGCTGGCAGCCACCAGCCGTCCCCTCATGGCTCCTAAATGCTGTGGGGATCTGGCTCCTTCTGCTCCTCAGGTTTGTGAAACACTCAGGGCTCCCCAGGGACCCCACGGCTCCCTCACCTCACACCCACAGGGCCTGGCAGCCCCCTCAGGGCAGCATTGATGGGCTGGGGCTCCTCTCACCCTGGTGTGTCCTGCAACAACTCACCCATGGGCCTGTCGGTTCTCCTGCCCCAGAACGCTCCTGCAGCCCCTCACTGACCCGGTGGTCTGCAGCAGCCCCTCAGCCCTGGGCCTGTCGGTTCTCGTGCCCCAGAACGGTCCTGCAGCCCCTCACCGACGGTCCCTGGGGTTTTCCCGACCTGGGGTGCACCTACAGCCCCCGAGCCCCGGGCCTAGGCGCTCTGCTGGCTCGAGAGCTCCTCATCCACGGGCCCGGAAACTCTCCAGCCCCAGAACGGCCCTGCAGCCCCTCACCCACAGCTCTGGAGGCCCTCCCGCCCCGGGGGGATCCTGCAGCCCCTCACCGGGAGCCAGCCGGGGCACCGTGCGGCGCCGGGGCTCGAACCTGCGGCTTGCCCGACTCGGCGGAGGGCTCGCGTCCCGTCACCACAGCGACGCGGCGGCTCCCGCAGGCCCCCGAAACCTCGCGGGACCCCGGCCCAGCCCCGCGTGTTGGGGGCGTGCCTGTGAGGCCGCGGCCGCCGCCATGATGGGTGTGGGCAGCCCTCACCAGTCCCCGGTGGGGCCGGGCCGTCCGGTGTGAGCGGGTGGTGCTCTACGGCCCCCATGTGCCCCTTTGCAGCCTGGTGTGCCGGGCTCTGCATCCCAGAGCCCACTGCCGGCCTCTGCCCCGGCTGGCACAGGCTGTGGTGCCCACCCAGGCACTCCCTCACACCCCGCTGGGCTCCCTGAGGCGCTGGGACGGGCCGGGCTGGGGTGGGGTCGCTATGGCGGGTGAAATGGCAGTGACTTTGTGTCCCTGTGGTCACAAAGGGGTCCCAGGGGTTGGGGCAGCCCCCCGAGCTCCCCGCAGCTTTGCAGTGTGCGACGCTACAGGCTTTTGGGGCACCCCACTGCCACCAGCGCGGCTTTTGAGGCGGGAGCCGGACCCCCGGAGCGGGTTGGCCCGTGCCCGGGGAGGGGATGCCCAGAATAGCTCCGCTATCTGATTCCGAGGGGCCGCGGCCGTCTGCACCGCCGGCTCCCGGGGGCTGACATTTGAGCCCCACCACGGGACGGGACGGGACGGGGCGGGCGCCGGGACTGCCCGGGATCTCCTGCCGGGACGGGAGCGGGATGGCGGGCGGGAGGCGCCGTGGGGGCCACGGGCGGCGCGGGGGACCCCGGCAGCACCCCGGGACCCCCGGGACCCCCGGAGCGGCCTCCTCGCCCGCACCTCTCTCTCCTGCAGCCGCCCCGGCCCAGCCAAACGCAGGCGCTGCCCCTAAAACCGGCCGCTCCAAGAAGGCCCCAGAGGAGCCAGCGGCGAGGGCTCCCGATGTGGACTCGCTGGGCTTCCAGGCCATGGACCGCAACGTGCCGGGGCTGTCCCACGTCATCCTGCAGAAGCTCAACATGAAGAGCTATGAGGACTACAAGTGAGTGAGCACCCATGGGTGCCTGTTCCCCACCCCCTTCCCCGGTAAGAGCATCCCGTGTGGCCCCCAGCAGCTGGAGCAGCTCCCGTGGTTCATCCCACCCTTCCGGCTCAGCCCACGGGGAGCTCTGATGGGCTCCTGGGTGTACCCCTCTAGAGTGCCTGGCTCCCTGTCCTCACCCAGGCCAGGATGCTCCTGGCTGGAGCTAAAAGTCTTGGCAGCCTCAGAGGATATGAGCCCCACCTTTGTGGCAGCGGGCTGGATTCTGCTCACCCTCTGCAGGTCTGCCATGGATGGGAGGAAGAGTGGCAGCGATTTTGGCATCCGGACATATTTTGACATGTTCCAGAAGATGGAAGACACCTTCAAGTTTTGTGTTGAGTGCAAGAAGCTCCCCGATGCCCTCCCGGACCCCAAAAGCCTCCGGCGTTGCAAGAGGTATGGTGGGGAGATGGTCTGGTGGCACAGGGATGGACCCATCCCTCACTTCCAGCCTGCTGGCTGGGGTGAGGTGAGCGGTGTCTGACCCTGGTGCCCACCTCCAGCCACTGGGCGCCCCTAGGAACAGTGACACAGCTCTGAGAGGGGGTGGCAGGGAACCAAGCTGGGTGGGCTGGATCGTGCCCCCCTCCCCATGGCTGGGCATTCTGCCTGTGTGCCCAGGTGCCAAAATGTGTACTATTGCGGCGTGGCATGCCAGCGTGCCAACTGGCCGCTGCACAAGAAGTTCTGCAAGAAGCTGAAGCTGGTGGCCCTGGACCGGCTGGTGGAGTGGCTCATCTTCACAGGTGAGGCATGTGTCCCCGTGGGATCCCCATCCTGGGCTGCACAGGTCCTGTGGTGGGATGTGGTGTCCATTCTCCCACAGCACAGGTGGGACAGGCAGCCTGGGCTGTGACACCCCCACTGTACCCTCCTGACCCTCTAGGAGACATCCCCTTTCCCACGGACACCTGGACAAAACCCGCCCGGGACGTGAAGGGCTGGGAGGACTGGTTCTCCATGCAGGAGCAGCTGGAGGAGAAGCTGGGCGCCATCGTGGCCGGGCGCTACATGACCCTGCTGTGGGCCAACGCCGGGAAGCCGCGGCCGGAGGACGCGGAGCTGCGGGAATCCATCCGGCGCCTGGTCACCGACTTCCACTCGCGGCCGCTCACCATCGGCCTGGGACTGCGGCTCTTCGGCATCGACCCCCTCACCAGGCCCCTCACCGTGCACGTGGTGGGGGCTTCCCACGTGGAGACCCTCAACACGCGGCTGACGGACTACGACGAGCTGACGCGCATGTTCCCGGGGCACCAGGGCGTGGAGATGGTCATGGTGGGCGTGGACGTGGTGGATGGACCCATCATGAGGCCACCCCTGACCACGCTGGCGCCCCGGGGAAAAGTCTATCTCAGCAGCTACAAGGGGCTCTACCACGACTTCTGGGAAAGCCACGTGGAGACCAAGCTGGCCGCCCCTCCTGACCTGGTGGTGGGCTTTCACCCGGGTGAGTGCCTGTGCCATGGAAGGGTCGGACCCTCACACCCCACTGCAGGGATAGGGACATCCACAGGGCACATGGGCTCAGGAACCACGCTGAGCACCCTGGCAGCACCTGTGGCTGGGCCTGAAGCTGGCCTGGGACATGCTCAGGGCTTTGCACCAAGGCACAATGGGCAGCTGGGGGCACCCCTGGGATATGGCTGCCTTGTCTCCCCACCAGACACTCTGTCCTGCCTGTGTCACCCACCTGCAGGGAAATGAATCCTTCCCTTCAGGTCTCAGTGCTGTGACTTAGCCCAGGACACAGAGTTTGGGGTGCCCCATATGCTGAGAGAAGCCAGACCCCACCTTGCTGAGGGCTGCCAAGCTCACTGCATACTTGGGGTGTCCAGCACAGAGTGAATGCAGTTGGAGCCAGCTTTCCCGGGGGCCAGGGTGGGATGGGAAAGGGGTGGAATCCTCATGGCTGTGTCCCCACAGGTTTCCATGCCTGCCCAGACCTGCTGGCGGGCTGGCTGCCCACCCTGCTGCTGCTGCGGGACTATCGCCTGCCCGTGCTCTTCACCGTGTACAGGTGAGCACAGCCCCACCCACAGCCCCGCTGAGCCGGCACAGACACCCTCTCACCGTGCCTGTCCTCTCCTCTGGCAGTGAGCAGGAGCTGAAGGCCTCCCTGCAGATCCTGGTGGAGCTGGAGATGCACATTGTGGGTTATGCCAGCAACCCCTTTGCCTCCCTGCGGCCCGAGCAGGTCTACTCAAGCCCCAACAAACCCCCCGTCTACTGCAGCTCCCACTACATCGCCCTGCTGGGAGCAGAGGCTGTGCCAGGGGCTGAGGAGCTGGAGGATGATGATGGCTGGCAGGGAGGAGAGCCCAGTGGTGCTGCTGTGGCTGGGGGCATTGCCCCAGGGCTGGGCTGATTCCTGCCTGCCCTGACCACCCGACCCCCAGAGCCTCGCTGCCCATCCAGGACCCTCCACATCCTGGGATCAGCGATCCAGAAATCCCTCACTGCACATATGGAGGCCTGGGGGATGCAGCACCCCAGCACAGGCATGGCACCCTTCCACAGCACCAAATAAATCACTATCAGCAACCAGCTGCCGTGTCTCGAGCTTTATTTCCAAAAAGGCCTTTGTTTCCCTAAAGAAAACGAGGGGCTGAGCCCACCCCAGCCCCCCTCGAGCAGCCACGGCCTCTGGAGGGACAGCAAAGGGGACCCTGACTGTGGGACCAGCCATGCACGGGGCTGTGCAGCCCCTTGGGAACTGGTGGGGAGCCCCAACCCAGGCTTGGCTGTCGCTGTCACTGTCACCCTCACTGTGCCCCCATGCTGGTGCCTACCCTGCAGGGCACTGCTCCAGCCTGGCACCGGCCACCAGCCCGGCCACGGCAAATGGGCACCAGCTGGCACCTCCCCACTGCTCGCCAGCCTCGATGGCCCTTGGGGACACCGGGGCGGGTGGAGTCGAGGGAAGCAGCTCCCGCGGCATCGCCCGACGCTGCCGGGGACCCGCGCTTGGCCTGGCGTCCCCTCCTGGTGCAGCCAGCGGGTCTGGCGTGGCAGTGCTGGCACTGACCCGAGTGGGCACCCACGGTGGCTCAGGGAGGCCAGCACACCCCAGGGCTGCCAGCGCCCTGGCAGCGGCTCCGGGTCCCTCCCTGGGCTCTGCACCTGGGCGGCAGAGCTGGCACAGTCCGGCACGGAGCGGCACTGCCGGCGTCACTCGGCGCCAGCGCGTCCCCGCAGCGCGGGCAGTGTCAGGGTCTCCGGAGCCGATTTCTTCCGCGGGCGAGTCTTGGGGGGAGCCAGGAACTCGGGGGCCTCGTCGCTGAGAGGGGTGGAGGGGGCGCTGGCAGGGGCCGAGTGCGTGGCCGTGGGCTGCCCCACCTCGCTGACCGAGATGGCCGGTGCCACCAGGCCGATGAGCTCGTTGGTGGCCTCCTGCGTCTCCTGCTCGTAGCGCCGCACCTCCTCCATGGTCATCCCTGCCGAGCACAGCCGCGCTTGGGGCCGCTCGGCACGGCCGCCTCCGGCACCCCTCATCCCGGGCAGCCTGCGCCTCCCCACGGAGCTGGGGGACAGGGGGACGGGCAGGGAAGGGGATGCCGGGCAGCACAGCCAGCTCCCCAGCTCCAGCGCCAGCCCAGACAGCAGGAGGTAAGGGATGGGCAGTGACACAGGCAGCGCAGGCAGGGGACACGCAGGGAGGGCAGCTGGGAGGGGGCACACTCCACCGCGGGGTGCAGGGGGGGCACAAGCCCCCCTGCCTGCACCCACCCCCAGGCAGCAAGGCGGGCTCCGGGGTGTCTGTCCCCGGCAGGCAGAGGGGCTTAGGGGTGCTGGCTCCCCAGCTTTTGGTTTGTGGCCACTTGCATCTGAGTCTCGAAGGCCCGGACCTCTTCCAGGGACATGTCTGGAAGGCAGAGAGCCACTCACCGGGATGGCCTGGCACCCACTGCCAGCTGTCACCAAACCTGGGGCTCCCCTCCCTGTGCCCACACGTGGCAGCATGTGGCCCTGCCAGAATGGGGGTGCAGGCAGCACAGGCAGGGTGCTGGGACCCCTCTGCCCATCCTCCCCGAGGGGTGCAGGGCAGCGTGTGCAGGCAGGGGTGAGCTGGAAGCACAGGCAGTGCAGGCAGGGCAAGAAACACAGGCAGTGCAGGCAGTACAGACAATGCAGGCAGTGCAGGCAGGGTAAGGAATGCAGGCAGTGCAGGCAGCATAGGCAGCACAGGCAGTGCAGGCAGCACAGGCAGTGCAGGCAGCAGCACAGGCAGAGGAGGAGCAGGAGCTGTGGTGGGGTCAGTGGCATCAGCAGTCTGCCCTGCAGCCCCTCCCTCCACGGGCACCCTGTGCCCCCTCCCCACCGTGTGCCCCCTCAGACTCACCGCACCACTCGTCCACCCAGGCGAAAGCCTGCCGGTGCCCGATCAGCAGGATGTCCCGGATCACCTGCAACCCCATGGGGGTCAGCACCCTGTCACTGCCCCCCCAGTGCCCCCCAGCCCCCCTTGGGCCCCCCCTCACCTTGTGCACGAACTGCTCCACGCGCGTCTGCAGCCCCCACACCTCGAACTTGACGCTCACCAGTTTGTAGGAGCACATGATGGGCTTGGTGTGCTGGCGCCAGCCCTCCCGCAGCGGCCCCCGGCCCGTCTTGGCCGAGCTGAAGAAACGGGGGTCCTGGGGGCATGGGGAACGGCAGGGTCATGAGTCCCCCTCGGGACAGGAGACAAGGGGGTGGCTCCAGGAGCTCCCTGGTCCCCAGCCCTGGTACCTCCAGGCTGCGGTAGTAGCGCTCAGGGATCTCATCGAAGGCGATGTCCAGGAAAGAGACCTCGTGGTCACCAAGGATTTTGTCACTGTGGAAGATCTGGGGAGGGGAGGGAGGGTGAGTGACACAGACCACAAGTCATGAGGTGGTGAGTTTGCCAGTTCTCAGCTGCACTGCTCACTCACGTTCTCGCTGTCCCCGCAGTTGTCCTCGTACTTGGTCTCGATGTAGATGGAGAACTTGGGCAGGAAGGAGCACTGCAGGGAGCGGCTGTCAGCTCTGCCCCGAGGGACACCACTCCCAGGGACACCCACCCTGAGGGACACCCCACTCCAAGGGACACCCCACACCCAAGGATGCCCATCCCCAAAAGATGTGCAGTTCAAGGACACTGATCCTGAGGGACACCCATCCATCCAAAGGACACCCAGCCCTGAGGGACACCCACCTCCAAGGATGCTCATCCTCAAGGAACACCCAGCCACAAGGACACCCTCTCCAGGGGATTCCCACCCCCAAGGAAATCTGAGCCCCAAGGGACACCCACCCTGAGGGGTACCCAGCCCTAAGGACATCCACCCCATGGCCACCCCCATGGTGACACTCACCCTGAGGGACACCCACCCCTAAAGGATGTCCATCCCAAAGGACACCCACCCCCAAAAATCCCCCCCCAGCCACCTGCTGAAGGAGGGCACAGCTCATCCCATGCCAGTCCCTTACCGTGTACTCTGCAGGGACACCATGGCACATTGGCATCACAGGGTGGCATCACCGGGTGATAGCATAGGGGAGAGAGGGAGCAGTGAGACCGGGGGCAGCTCCTGCAGCCCCCACCCAGTGGGCAGGGACAGGGTGCCCGGGGTGCCCATCCCACGCCCTGCCAGGCTCACCTGTGATGGTGTAGGGGTAGTAGTTCCAGGCCTTCTCGGTGATGTAGAAGATGCGGGGGGTCACTGCCCGTGCCCAGCTTGGCAGTTTGCTGTGGGCACCGTGTCAGGGGACCCCTCAGGACAGGACATGGCTGGTGCCACCCAGCCCTGCACTGCCAAGCACAGCCTGGCTCTGGGATCCCCATTCCCACCCCAGGAACCCCACCTGCTCCCTGGCACCATCACCTGCACCCCAGGGACCCTCATCTGCACCTCAGGACCCTCATCTGCATCCCAGCACCTCTCCCAGGAGCCACTGCCACCTCCCCAGCACCTCCATCTGTATCCCAACACTGTCATGTGCACCTCAGGGCACCCCCAGGGACCACTGTCACCTCCCCGGGACCCTCATTTACACCCCTGGATCATCACCTGCCCCTCACAACACCCTCGGGGACCACTGTCACCTCCCCAGGACCCTCACCCCTGCCCCAGCTCCTCACCATTCACCCTCAGCTCCACTCCAGGATGCCTCCAAGGACCCTCACCTGCACCTCAGAACACTCCTAAGGAACCCTGTTGCCTCTCCAGCACCCTCCTTTACACCCCTGGATCATCACCTGCCCCTCACAGCACCCTCAGGGACCCCTGTCACCTCTTCAAGACCCTCCCCAGTGTCCCTCACCAGAGACCCCTGCCACCTCCCCAGCACCTTCATCTGTACACCAGGACCCCCCAGGGATCTGTGCCAACTCCTCATCTCCACCCCAGTGCCCCTCAGGTTCCCCAGCTCCTCCCCAGACACCCTGACCCCTCCCCAAGGAACACCCACCCCCCACCCTGGACCCTCACCCTTCCCCAGGACCCCTTGCCCTCCCCAGGGCTGAGCCCCCCGGGTGCTCCTGTCCCTCCCCAGTGCCCTGGCAGGATCGGGCCCCCTGGGGCCTCGGGAGGTGGGTTTTGATTAATTTTCAGGGGTTATAAATAAATTCCAGACGAGAGGGGAATCGTGAGTGCTGCAGCTAAAAATAACCTGTCTCACACCAGCAGCTCCTGGTGGGGAGCAGCCCGTGCCCGCAGGAGCTGAGGGGACATGGGGACAGTGCTGCTGCCCCGCGGTGACACCCCCGGGGCCGGGGCACTGCCAAGGCCCCGATCAGGCGCCCAGGGTGCCCACCAGGGAGGGGGGTGCATGTCCTGGGGTGGGTGCACCCCATGAGAAGAGGGCAGCCCCCCAGAGAGGGGTGAACCCCTAGGATGGGCGCACCCAGAGCTCCCAAAGATGGGTGCAGCCCCCCAAGATCAGAGCACCCCAGGAGATGGGTACACCCTGAGAGATAAGGGCAGCTCCCAAAATTGGATGCACACCCCAAAGATGGGTGCAAGGACTTGGGGACCCCACTGGGAGACACACACACAGCCCTTGAAGATGGGTGGGTGCCTGGGAGATGGGTGCAGCCCCTCAGGATCACTGCAGCCCCCCAAGATCACTGCAGCCCTGGAGATGGGTGCAGCCCCCCAAGATCAGTGCAGCCCCCCAAGATCAGAGCACCCCAGGAGATGGGTACCCTGAGAGATAAGGGCAGCTCCCAAAATTCAAAGCACACCCCAAAGATGGGTGCACCCCAGGACTTGGGGACCCCACTGGGAGACACACACACAGCCCTTAGATGGGTGCAGCCCCCAAGATCGGTGCAGCCCCCCAAGATCACTGCACCCCAGTAGATGAGAGCACCCATGGGAAATGATGGAGGGAGCCCAGGAAATAATGGGGAATCAGCCACTCTGCAGTGTGCCCAGGACCCAGCAAGGATGTTCCCCAGGGATTTTGGGGGATGCTGCCTGCCATGCCCCCACTGCAGTGCCCCCCAGCACCATCGCAGGCTCACCTGGAGAGGTGCACTCGCTTCTCCGTGAACTGCCCGGGGCCGTGCACGGGGTCCTCGTGGGGCTCGTTCTTCACCACCTCCACGCCCTCGCCCTTCTCGCTCTCCTGGTGGCTGTGCTTGCTGATGGTGTAGAGCTGCCCCACGCGGTACTGCCGGCACAGAGCCCGCCCTCAGCGCCCCCGGCCCCGCTGACACCGCCCGGGGGCTGAGCCACGCTGCCCACAGGGGAAACTGAGGCACGGAGCAAGGGGTGGCAGAGCCTGAGCTGCGCAGAGGGCAGGGGGTACCTGGGGCACCCTGTGTGACCTCCCGTGTCCCTGAGCTGTCCCAGCTCCCAGGCAGGGGCTGGATCCTGCTCTCCCTGTGCTCTCCCAGTGCCTTGCAGAATTCCTGGAGGTTTTCTGCTCGGCAAAATATCTGGGAGCCAGGGAGAAATGTCTGTATGATATGAAATATATGATATACCTGGATGTGTCTGTATCAGGTATATAACCATGAGGGTGTAGATGTGTGTCTAGGGATGGGATCCAGGGAGAAATGTCTGTATGATATGATCTATATGTTACATATGGATGTCCCTGTGTCAGGTATATAACCATGAGGGTGTAGGGGATGGAAACCAGGGAGAAATGCCTATATTATATGATCTATATGATGTGTCTGGACGTGTCTGTGTCAGGTATACAGCCATGAGGGTGTAGATGTGTGTTTGGGGATGGAAGCCAGGGAGAAATGTCTATATTATATGATCTATATGTTATATATGGATGTCCCTGTGTCAGGTATATAGCCATGGGGGTGTAGATGTGTGTTTGGGGATGGTATCCAGAGAGAAATGCCTATATTATATTATCTATGTGATGTATCTGGATGTGTCTGTGTCAGATATATAGCCATGAGGGTGTAGATGTGTTTTTGGAGATGGGAGCCAGGGAGAAATGTCTGTATGATATGGTCTATATGGTAAATCTGGATGTGTCTGTATCAGGTATATAACCATGAGAGTGTAGATATGTGTCTGGGGATGAGATCCAGAGAGAAATGTCTATATTATATGATCTATATGATGTATCTGAATGTCCCTGTGTCAGGTATATAGCTATGAGGGTGTAGATGTGTGTTTGGTGATGAAAGCCAGGGAGAAATGTCTGTATTATATGGTCTATATGGTAAATCTGGATGTGTCTGTATCAGGTATATAACCATGGGAGTGTAGATGTGTGTTTGGGGATGGGATCCAGGGAGAAATGTCTGTATGATATGATCTATATGTTACATATGGATGTCCCTGTGTCAGGTATATAACCATGAGGGTGCAGATGTGTGTTTGGGGATGCAGCTGTGCAATAAAGGTTGGACTGTTCTGCTGAAGATCCCATCCACCACCACAATCGCCAGCAGGATTTTACCACCCAGCTCTGCCTGAATTAAACCCTTCCCCAGGTGCCTCCAAGGAAGGATGGCACTGCCCAGGGTGGGCACCACTCCCCAAGAGCAGGCACCAGGGAGAGACCTTTGCCCAGGGGTGCTGCCAGAGCTGTTTGCCGATGGCATTCAGGCTCCCTGCCCGAGCAGGGATGGAGTTTATGGTCCCTGCCGTGCCACGGGCATCCATCCCCTGGTCCTGCTGTGCCCGGTGCTGCCCTGGGGCGCTGTGCCCCGAGGTCACCGTGCACAGGACGGGCTGTGCCCACACCCGCACCCCAAAGCACGGCTCGGCCCTGGCACGGCACACCCCGAGCCCATCCCATCCCATCCCTGCCACCAGCCGTGCCACGAGGGCACGGCACAGGGGTCACCGCGTCCCTCCCCTGGGTGTGAGCCCCGCAGCCGCCCCCCTGGCCCCCTCACCTCCTCGGTGGTGAGCGGCATGCAGATGCGGTACTCCTTGACCAGCATGGTGGCACCTCGGGCGGGGTGCCACGGGCACGGCGGGCAGCTGGGGCGGGCTCAGGCGGAGGCGTGGGCGCTGCCGGGGACACGGCTCATGCTGGGGCGGGCGGGGAGCGGGGGGGACGCGGCGCTGCCTCCCGCGCTGCCGGCCCCGCTGCCCGGCTCGGAGCTGCCGCCCCGCTCGCCGTGACTTCACGAGCGTTGCCATGGCAGTGGCGTGAGGTCACCCGTGCGATGAGCAGCCTGGGTGTACCCAGCTGGGGACACCCCGGCACCCCAAAACCCTCCCGGCCTTAACCCCGTCCCTGCCGGGCACACAAACGCGTCCCCTCGGAGCGCACGTGTCCCCCCAAAACAGGGTGCTGTCCCTTCGGGGTGCCACATCCCCACCCGGCTGTGGTGGCCAGTGTGGCAGGAGGGTTGTAGGGACATGAGGATGCCCGGTGCTCCTGGGGACCCAGCTGTGGGCACCCACACTGCCCTGTCCTGAGGGGTACTCAGGTGTCCCCCCTGATGGAGGACATCCCTTCCCCGGGCAGGACCTGGATCCCCTTCCCCGAGGCTTCCCCCAGCACCCGCCCCAGGCAGCACCACCCTGGGGCTGCCCCCCAGCACCCACCACACCCATGGCACTGCCAGGCTGTCACCCTGCCAGGGCTGGGGATGCTCACAGTGAGCATCAGGACAGCTCGGGGGGCTCCGGGATGTGCCCCCCAGCCCCACAGAGAAGGGAGGGGATGTGGGCCCTCCTGAAAGTCACCCCGGATGGGGGTCAGGCCTTGGAAGGGCAGATGGGGGCTCACATGGGATTTTACCACCTGGGAACACAGGGACATCCTTGGGGGTACAGGGTTATAGTGGGACACAGGGGCAGCTTTGGGGGCACCGGGGGACACAGGAGTGTCCCTGGGGCTGCAAAGCCGTTTGAGGCTACAGGGGCATCCCTGGGGGACACCTCGCTGACGGGGCAGAGGGCTGGGTGCCGGTGCCAGCTGCAGGAACCCCAATGCCCCGGCAAACGGGAGGGGACACTCCGGGGACTCACCGGAACGCCGCAGGGCACGGATTCCCCTCCCCATCCCGGCAGCCCAGACCGGCCCCCGCCGGCCGCAAAAGGAGGAGCCCCCCGGCCGGGCTCGGCCGCCCCTTCCCCAGCGCTGCCCGCGGCCGCGTCCCCCCGGGCCGAGCCCCTGCCCGCACTCACCGGCCCGCGGCGGTGCCCGCTCCCTCCGCCGCCGCCGCCGCCGCCGCCGTGCCCCGGCCGTCCCGGGCCGTGCGCAGGAGCGAGCCGCCCCCCGCACCGCCTCCCGCGCCGCGGCACACCGACCCCTAGGGGGAGGAATGCACCGGCACCGCACCGGCACCGGCACCCGCATCCCACCTACACCGGCACCGGCACCGCACCGGCACCGCACCGACATCGCACTGGTACCGCACCGGCATCGCACCGCACCTGGACCGGCACCGCATCGCAGTGACAGCGACACCGGCACCGGCACCGGCACCACACCGGCACCGCACCGGTACCGCACTGGCACCGCAGTGACAGCGACACCGGCACCACGGCACCGGGGCACGGCACCGAGACACCTTCCAGCACCAGGGCTCCTCTGGCGCGGCACACACCGGCACCGGGGCTTCTCTGGCATGGCATAGACGGGCACTGGCCCACCCCGGCACGGCACAGACCGGCACCAGGGCTCCTCTGGCACGGCACACACCGGCACCGGGGCACCCAGCACGGCACACACCGGCATCGGGGCTTCCCACACCCACCGGGTCTCCGGTCCCCACAGCACCGCTGTGTGCCCCAGCCGGGAGGTGCCCCCGTGGGGCTCCTGGGCTGCGCCTCCCGGGCACCCCCAAACTCCCTCAGCCACTCACCTGCACCCCGCTGCCAGGCTGGCCCTGTCCCCCCAGCCTCAGCACACCCCACGTGCTGGCACTGCCCACGTGCCACCCACGGCCACCAGCACAGCTCATCACCAGTGACACCGCTGTCACTCCCTGTGCCGCCCGTCCTCCTTCCTCTGCTAATCTCCATCATCCTGAGCATTGCTGTGCCTCGCCACTGCCATTTTCCTGTTATTTCCTCCCAAAACTCTGCCATGATCTCCAGCCCAGCTGCCTGAGGTGCAGGGGAGTGGCCCATCAGTGCCAGCGTGTGGGGACAGGGATCGGGCAAAGGGGACATCCACCAAGCCACCCTGTGGTGCTGCCATCACTGGCACTGCTGGGACCCAGCACTGCAGTGGCCACAGAAGTCCCACCTGCCAGTGTGTGCCACCTCCTGGTGGAGGGGACCCCACTTTGTGTCACCCTGTGAGCCCCAGGGCAGTGCTGATGTCACCCCAAGGCAGCAGGGATGGCCGCAGGCTGTGGCCAGGACAAGCAGTGACAGAAGGAGCAGCGTGGGGACAGTGGCCCCAAAACCTGCCAGGGTGCCCCACGGGCACCCATCCCACATCCGGGAGGGCAGTGCCAGGAGCCCTGCCCGCAGGAACACCTTCCCTGCCTGCCTGCACCTCTGCCTCCTTCCCACATACCAGCCTGTGGTGTCACTGTCCCCGTGGTGTGTGACAGCACCCCCAGCTCTGGTGGCAGTGGTGGCAGCCACCCCCATCCCCATTTCCCCCAGGGAGGAAACACCACAGCATTCTCCAAAGGGGGACTCCAGCCTGCGTGGCTGGGACCAAACCCAGCAGGGCTCCCTGTGGGACTGTGGTGGTGACAAGGACCCGGCCATGCTGGTGACAAGTACCTGGAGGGCTCTCAGCCCCCCCAACAGCTGCATTCCTCCTGAACCTGTTTGGCAGGGCCCTGTGCAGGTGCCAAGAAAAAGGCATCCGGGCTGGGCTTTTCCTGGTCATGCCCTGCTTCACTCCAGTGCCGAGTCAACAAGGAGTAGGAAGGGTTTTCTGGAGCCTGGTGCCCCCCAAAGTCACCCACGGCTCCCAGTGCCAATGGTGCCCCCCAGTTTCTCACCCCCCAGCAGGGATCCTGCAGCAAGTTGGGAAGGGGAAGAAAGAGGAGGCAGAAACAAGTGAAAAATGACCCAATTTAATCCCAAAGCCCCCTCAAGCTCCGTGGTTCTGGGAGCCCCTGGTGGCCCCTCCAGCCCCCCTGTCTGTGCAGCCCCGGGGGCCCCGGGCTGAGCGCCCCCCCGGCTCACCCCCGGCTCACCCCCGGCTCACCCCTGGCTCTCTGCCTGGGCACAAGGAGCTCTCCGAGGCACCCGGCCCCTTCCTCAGCTCCGCCGGCACCAGCCGCGTCCCACCGCCCCCAGCCCCGCCCCGAGCCCTTAGGGAGGCGCCCTGAAGAAAACCATCCTGGTGGAGTAGACCAGGTCCACCAAGTAGGCGATGAGGTTGAAGATGGTGAGGAAGGTGATCCCCAGGTTCTTGTTCCACCAGCAGTCCGGGCCGCAGGAATCGGGGCGGCCCCGGCCCCCCAAGCTGTAGAGGGGCCACACGACCATGGCAGTGAGGTACATCAGCAGGGCCAGCGCGTTGTAGCCCACCAGCACCTTCTCCAGCTGGCAGGGGATGTAGCTGAGGCAGCGGCCGATGGTGAAGATGATGATGAGGAGGGTGAAGATGAAGCAGAGGGAGTAGACAGCCACGCACCACATCAGGCCAGATTGCCGAGTGTATTCACGCGAATCCAGCAGGGAGAAGATCAGGCAAGCCACGTAGGCTTCAAAGACCTTGAGGAGGCCGGGCACGGTGGAGAGGAAGCTGCTGATGTCGCCGGGCTTGGCGCGGGTCAGCGACACCTCGAGGGCGTAGGCGACGAAGCAGAGGCAGGAGGAGGTGGTGGCCACGGCCTGCCGGGCACACTGGCTGCTGCTGCAGGGGCTCTTGATGAATGTGGCAGGGAACACCACCGAGGAGGTGAAGACCATCAGAGCGGCCAGCATGGAGAAAGCCGAGGTGAAGTCATCCCAGGAGAGCGGCAGCAGCGGGTAGAGCTCCAGCAGCTCCAGCAGCAGCACCAGCAGCGTCACGGCGAAGCAGAAGCACCAGGAGAACATGCACCACGTCCCGTAGGGACCCTCGAAGTGCCCGGTGGAGGCCACCAGGCTGAAGGAGAGGCAGGACAGCACCACGGCGAGGAGGCGGGCGATGCCCACCCAGGAGGTGAGGGCGCGCAGGTTCAGCGTGGCCATGGTGCGGCCGCTCTGCCCGCTGGGCGCTGCCCGCAGCCGCTCTTATCCGGGGCTGGGCAGGAGCCGCCAGCCCCCCCGAGCCGCCCGTGCCGAGGACCCCCGGCTCTGCTGCCGCTGCCGCCACGCCGCTGCCTGCCGGGGCTGGTGGATCATTAACGCGGGGCTGGGCAAAGGGCGGGGACGGCGGGGCCGGGGCGGGCAGGAAGCCACCGTGTGCCACCGTGTGCCACCGCCCTGGCATCGAGCCGCAGCCCTGCCCGCGGCAGGAGGGACAAAAGGGCCTTTCATGCACTCCTAGAGTATCTGGGAGGGCACCCCGACACCGTGACAGGTACCAGGGCTTGGCAGCCAGAGGGGCAGCCCCCACTGGGTCACCCTGAGGGGTTTAGGGGCTGCACCCATGCGGTGCCCCTGGCAGGGGGGTGACACAGCTGGGTGTAGCCCCTTCACACCCTTGCAGGCGACACCTCCACACCCCTCTGGCACCTCCGCTCCCCTCCCGGCACCTCCAGCACCCGATAAGCGGCTCAAAGTCCAGCTGTGCCAGCTGCCTGGCTGGGCAGGGCGGGTGAGGCGGCCAGGGGAGGGCATCTGCAGCCCGGGCACACCCCACAGGCAGCACCTCCCCTTCCCCAGCCTGTCTGGGGGCCACAGCAGCCAGGGCAGCACAGGAGGGCGGTGGCACATCAAAACTTGGGAGTCCAGCAGGAGGGCGAAGGCTGAAGGCTCTGGATTAACCTTTAATGTCACACAGGGTCCGGGGGTCTGTGCCCATGTCAGGGCAGGTGGGCACTCCTGGGGGGGGGCTCTTCACCCCAGGCAGGTTCCTGGCACAGCCATGGTGGGCAGGGGTGGGCACTGCCATGGGTGCAGTGCTGCTCTGGGGGCACAGGGTGGCTCAGAGGTGGCTGCTGGCCTCGCCCTTGGCAGGCAGCCCATTGAGGGGGCCCAGCCCCGGCCGGTTGCTCTCGTTCAGCCGCCGCACGCGGTAACTCTCGTAGTGGACGTTGTGGGTGATGTCCTTCAGGTCCTGCAGGTGTGACCTGCCCGGGGTGGCACGGGGAGGAAGGGCATCATGTCACTGTCCCCCCCCACCCTGCTGTCACCCCGGGGGGTTCCAGCACTCCCAGCCCTGTCCCCGCTCACCGGATCAGCAGGTCCTGCAGCAGGGGGAACTCGCAGTGGGCTGGGTTCTCCACTGCAAGGCAGAGGGGCAGCGTTGGCAGGAGGGCTCGGTGGCACTGGGATGCCTGGGCAGAGCATCCTGGCACGCTCTGGGTGCCACCAGAGCCCAGCACAGCTCCGTGCCACCTGCCATGGCCTGGCACTCCCCCAGGCAAGGACACACCGTGGGCGCAGGGCCTGGGGGTGAGGGGCTCTGCTCACCTTCGATGATGCCCCACTTGGTCTTGCGGCCCAGCACCCGCTTGCCGTTCACCTGGTGCTCCTGGTCTGCCCCCACCACGGCGAAGGGAATCTTCTCCTGCCAGCAGAGACTGTGCTCGCCCTCGGTGTCCCCTGGGGTCCCCAGGGTCCCTGTCCCCCACCCTGCCCCCCAGGATGGCCCCTCAGTCCCAGCACCCCGGCACTCACACGAATCCTGTTGTTCAGTGCCCTGTCCTCGGGGTCCTGGTCGAAGTCCTCCTGTGGGTACACGCTGATGGCGTGGGTCCTCAGGTCCTCCTGGATCTGGGGGACACAGGGCTTGAGCCAGGCTGGGGGGCACATGGGGCAGCCCAGGAGCCCCCTGGGGACCTGTCCTCACCCTCTGCTTGAATTCTGCCCGCTCCTCCAGGGTGAGCGTGTCAGCCTTGGCGATCACCGGCACCACGTTGACGATCTTGCTGAGCCGCCGCATGAACTCCAGGTCCAGCGGGCGCAGCCTGGCAAGGGCCAGCGTCACTCCAGGCTGTCCCCACCTCTGTCACTGCGGGGTGACCCCACCAGTGCCACCCCACGGTCACTCTGAGGTGACCCCAGCACTGTCACCCTGAGGGACCTTCCCCACTGCCTCCCCAGGTTGATACCCTGTATCTGTCACCCTGGGGTGACCACACCACCATCATCCCAGGGTGACACAACCACCCCACAGTGACCACCCCACCATTGTCACCATGGGGTGACCCCACCATCATCATCCCAGGGTGACACAACCACCGCACCGTGACCATCCCACCACTGTCACCATGGGGTGACCACACCACAACCACTCCAGAGTGACCCTGAGGTGCCTCCACCACCATCATCTCAGGATGGGGTTATCACCCCAGACTCCACCACCATCACCTCAGGGTGACCCCACCACCGTCATCCCAGGGTGGCACAACCACCCCATGGTGACCCCATCACCTGTGGGTGCTGTGAGCGGGGGTCACTCACCAGTGACCTGTGGGGGGCACAAAGTAGACACATCCATGGACGCGGGTGTCCGGGATCTTCCTCTTGCGGGTGATGAGGATCTCCTCCCGCAGGTACCTCTCGTACTGCTCATTGATGTATTTGATGATGGGGTCCCAGCTGACGATCAGGAGTTGAGGGACGGCACCTGAGCTCAACCCCCACCCCAAACTGCCCCCCACGGAGCTGGGCTCCTGCTCCCCATTGTGTCCTACCAGTTGTCATTGTTGATCTGGTCCCCAAAGCCTGGCGTGTCGGTCACCGTCAGCTTCATCTTCACCCCCTTCTCCTGGATGACTGTGGGGCACAGGTGGGTCAGGGGGGAGGGAACATTGGGGAAAAGCAGGGGAGCAGACATGGGGGATGGTTTGAGGCTGTGAACACAGCTCCAGACCCCAGCCCAGCCCCCTGCTTCTCCCAGGGGCTGGTGGGACACGAGCCCGTGGTGGTGACCTTACTGTGGGTGATGGACTGCAGCTGCACAGTTTTGGGAATGCGTTCCTCCTGGCCGGGCTGCGAGGACTTGCGGCTCACCTTGGACTTGAAGAGGGTGTTCACCATCGTGGACTTCCCCAGCCCGCTTTGCCCTGAGGGGACACCGGCACCTCTGGTTTGTCCCCCAGCGCAGTAACATCTTGATATCCCCTTGGGAGCAACCCAGAATTTGGGATAACTCTGCTTTACCCCCAAATAAATTTCTTCCCCAAGGCAATAACCCCTTGGTATCCACTTGGGAGCATTCCAGAGGTTGGGACAGTCCATTTTATCCCAGGAATAAATTTGTTCCCAAGGTAACAACCCCCGGTACACATCTGGGAGCATCCCAGATTGGGCTACTCTGGTTTATCTTCCAAACAAATTTATTCCCCAAGGCGACAGCCCCTCAAAATCCATTTGGGAGCATCTCAGAGGCTGGGATGAGCTCACCTACCAGCATTACTATGCTATGCGGTATGGGATATTACTCATTTTCGATTGTTTGCTACTTAAATCAGTTAAATTTCCTTAGAATCCCTTAAAAGCATGATTTCTCCTGGCATGGTGGAATCGGAGCCAGTATTCCCACCCCACCCAGGTGCAAACCCCACGCCCGGCGCTCACCCACAACCATGATGTTGAACTCAAAGCCTGTCTTCATGGTTTTGATTTTCATCTGGTCGAGCACAGCTTCGATTCCCACGTATCCAAAGAGCTGGCAGCCCACGGGGCCGGGCGCCATGGAGAGGGGCACCGCCCCCTCCTCCTCCTCCTCCTCCTCCTCCGGCACGGCCGGCGGCTCCATGCTGCGCTCCTCGGGCTCCAGGCTGCTCCCTGCACCGCGGGGAGGGCAAAGCCGGTGAGCCTGGAGCCCGGGTGCCCACCCCTCGGTGCCACCCCCCGGTGCCCACCCTCGGTGCCAGCCCTGCGCCTCAGCGTTGCCCCGGCAGCGGCGGTGGCGGCGGGCACGCAGCCCCGGCACATTCCCGGGCGCCGGTGAGGCTGGGCATGGCAACGGGGGCACGGCACCCCCCGCGCCAGGCTCCGGGCAGGTGCCAGGGGCATCTTTGGGGTGGTCGTGCCACCGGACCTCGCGGTGCCACCGAGTGCCCTGCGATCATCGGGCACCGCGGCCGTGCCCAGCACCTTCTGCCCAGCGCCTTTGCGCAGCCCACGCGGTCACCGGGCACCGCTCCGGCCCCAGGGCAGGCCGTGCCACCCCACAGCGCACCCACACTGTGCCCCGGCATTGGGCACGGCGGGTGCGGCGCAATCCCCGGCACAGCCCCGACCCCCAGGGACACGCGGGGTTTGCCCGGGCACGGTGCCCGGAGCGTGCCCCACACCGGGGCCACCGGAGCGCCGTGCCCGCCCCAGCCCTTTGTGCGGCAGCCCCAAATCCCCTTCCTCCTCCTCCTCCTGCTGCTGCCTCCCAGCCCGGCCATTGTTCGGGTCCTACCTCGGCGCCGCGGCGCCCTCGCTCAGCGCCCCGCTACGGCCGGGGGGGTCCCGGGGGCGCCATCCGCGCCCCCATCGCCGCCGCAGCCCGGCCCCTTCCCTTCCCTTCCCTTCGCTCGGAGCTCCCGGCTGGCACCAGCCCCGCTCCGCCGAGGCTGCGGCTCCCACGCATGACCAGCATGGCAATGCCCGCCCCCCGCAGCCCCCTCCCCAGCGCGGCCGAGCCCCTGCGCCCGGCCTGCCGATCGACTGGGGGCGGGGAGGCTGTGCCAACCCGGCTGTGCCCACCCGGCTGTGCCAACCCGGTTGTGCCAGCCCGGCTGTGCCCACCCGGCTGTGCCAACCCGGCTGTGCCCACCCGGCTGTGCCCACCCTGTGCCGGGCCAGCACGGATGGGGACCCCTCTCATGGCACAGGACACCCCCAGTCCGCGCTTTGTCCCCATCATCCCGTGGCACTGACTGGGAGCGGGAGTGCTCGGCCGTGGGCACGATCCCCACTGGCACCCGCGGACCACCCCGCGCTGTCTGTGCCCCCCGCCCTCCCCAGCAGCTCCTGTGCCCGGCCCGGCACGGTGGGACCGGGGGTGGTGGCCCTGCCACCCGCCCCACTGCCGCAGTGCCCCACGGCGCTTGCGTCCCCCCACGCCGCAGCCTCCCCCGCGTGTGCCAGCCGGCGCTTGGCACCGGCGGGGCTGGAGCGGCAGCTTGCGATGGCCCAGGCTGTGAGGGACCTGCTGAGACCGTGTCCGTGTGCCACGCAGCCAGGGGACAAGGGACATGTGGGCAGGGCGCGGCCTGAGCCAGCCCGGGCTCCAGGAGATGATGGAGATGAACACCCCCATTGCCATGGCAACGGCATCCCGGCGTGGGAGCCACCCAGCATCCTGTGCCCGCCGGGTGCCAGAGGGATGGCAAGCTTGGGGACAGCGCTGCCGCATGTCCCAGCTGCCCCTGCGCCCCCTGGCTCGGGGTGTTCCTCGGA